GAGGAGGAGGAGGAGGAGGAGGAGGGGGAGGAGGAAGAGGAAGAAAACGAGAAGGAAGAGAAGGAATGAAGCGATAACCTTGTAAGAACCACACGAAGAGACCACTCGAAAGGCGAGGGCCGCCACAATCCCCCGTTCTCGAGGAGGAGGGGGAGGGGGAGGAGGAGGAGGAGGAGGAGGAGGAGGAGGAGGAGGAGGAGGAGGAGGAGGAGGAGGAGGAGGAGGAGGAGGAGGAGGAGGGAGGAGGAGGAGGAGGAGGAGTGAGGAGAGGCGGGGAGTAGGAGGAGAGGAAGAAGAGGAAGAGGTGGAAGAGGAGGAGGAGGAGGAGGAGGAGCAGGAGGAGGAGGAGGAGGAGGAGGAGGAGCAGGAGCAGGAGGAGGAGGAGGAGGAGGAGGAGGAGGAGGAGGAGTAGGAGGCATTTGGCCCCCGGCGGGCCATCTGGATCGGCCGAGGATCGGTCGGGTCGATCGGCTCCGGCCGCCCGATCGATCACCCACGCGCTCGGGACGGTCGGCCAGCCTGCAGGGCCGGGGTCCATGTGCGCCGATGGGCGCACTCTGGAGTGATGGGCCCTTCCGTGGCTCCCTGGCCCCTCATCATCCGGGGCCCGAGTGCGGCACCAGTCACGAGCAGCGGCGGCAGGAGGCTAAGCAGCCGCGGGGATGGCTGCTGGCGCCTGGGGCTGCGGCGGTGGCTGCGACGACGGCCGCGCTGACGACGGAGGGGGGCCGCCACTACCGATGGCAGCCCTCGGTGTGCATGGCCTGGTAGACCCGGGAGCTGGTGTCCACGGCGGCCCGACGGGGTGCCCGCGAACGCCGTTTGCTGGCCCGGGCTCCAACAGCGTCAGGCGAGCACGTGCCCAACGCCGCGATCGCCGTGGCGGAGGTGGGCTCCCAGCAGGTGTACACGCGTATCCACGAGATAGAGGCCAACCTTCGGAAGATCGCGCTGGCCGTGGAGAAGCTGGGGCTGGCGTCCGCCGCTTGGGTGGCCCTAGACTTGCACAGCGGGGTATGGAGGAGTATGGTGCTCCTCCCCGGATGCGATGACGAGGCTTGGAGGAAGATGTTGCTTTCGAACGGATACGATGGCGAGGATTGTAAGAAGGTCATGTCTTCCGCCGACTACGACGCTTATGACCACCCGTCCGTCCACTACAACGGCACCAACATCAACCCTGGTGACCACAGGGCGGACGCACTGATCGCGGCGCTGCTCCACCCCACCCCGCAGGCCAAGGCAGCCGGCGCTGAGGCGGTGACGGCAGCAGCTGCCCAGATGGCTCGCGGAAGCAGTGGTCCATGTGCGACGGGACACCATCTGCCCTTGTGGGAGGTGATGCCACACCACATGCCGACGATCGTGGTGCCCTCCCCGGTGCTGACAGTGGCCCTGTGGCGATTCGTGCCGCTGGTCGAGCCGAAGTCGGGGACAGCAAAAGAGCGGGGTGATGAATAGGGGGGAGTGGATATCATGGCGTGGGCCATGATATTCCCCCAGATCTCATGGCGCCTCTTCTTATTTCATTACGTCCCTGGCCCCCCCCCTTGGGCCGCGCACATGCCGCCAGCCATGATTTGCACCCCCCTCTTGGACGCCCCCCTCTTGGCCGCCCCGACGAAGAGGCTGGGGACGACCCCGAGGAGGACGGGAAGAACAAGCTCGAGACGGAGCCGGCGCGCCCCTCCCGCGCGCCGCCCAGCGGCGCGACGACGGGGGTGGCCATTGGCACCTTCGCGGCCAGCACCCCCTTCGGCAGCCCAGCAGCGTGCCCCGTGCCCAGGGGGAGGAGGAGGAGGAGGAGGAGGAGGAGGAGGAGGAGGAGGAGGAGGAGGAGGAGGAGGAGGAGGAGGAGGAGGGGAGGAGGAGGAGGCGGAGGAGGAGGAGGAGGCGGACGTGTCGCTCGACCCCCTGCCGAGGGCAGGCGGACCGGTGGCCCTTCGCGGCCCGCGGGTGGTCCGCCGGCACAGGGTGGTCGCCAGGACGGCGGTCGTTTTGGCCCTTGCTGTCCGAGCTGCCTGGAGCTCGTGGACTGCGGGAGCGCACGTGGGCCTGGCAGCGGTGCGAAGATGGATTGCCGCCGTCTCGTCAGGCAGGGCTTCGAGCCCTGGACTTGCGCGGCGGGACATCGGTTCGAGCGGCCGGCTTAGCGGTATCTCTATGAGCTCCAGTTCATGGATCACACTGTCTCCGTGGAGGTGCGCTTCACCGACGACCTTGCCAGGTCAATCTTCGGCGTCGACGCATGTGCGTATTAGCAGGCCTGTGAGCGCATGCATAACCGCGGGGACGAGGTGGAGATCGATCGTCTGAGCTCTGGTGTTCTCGGGTGGACCTTCTACCTGAAGATCACTGCGATGAAGGAGGCTGGGCAGACTGAGGAGCGCGTGCAGTATCACACGACCGAGACTACCCCTGGCGAGGCCGATGACGCTGGCTGGCGACCTGGCTGGCGCCCCGGCGGCGCTCGATGTCGATGGGAGAGCGCGGTGCGGGCGGAGGTCGCCCCTCCACTGCCCAGTGCCAGCCGTGCGAGCCGTGGCTCTCGAGGGAGGTGAGCGGAGCACCGATGCGAGATAGTGGAACCTGCCAGATCTCACTGGAGGCCGCCGTCCGCGCCAGCCTCGCCCCGACGAGCGCGGTCGCGCTGAACGAGGAGGCGCTGAGAAGGCGGCAAATTCGAGGGCTTCCGAGAGGCCCAAGCGCGGCCGCACGCGGCCGTTCGGCCGCGAGGAGGGCGGGATGCCCCCACCTTCTCGGGCTGCTGCCGCCAGGGAGGAGGGGCGCCGACTCCCAAGGTCGGCGGAGGCTCGCGGCCCCCCTCCCCGGCGTCTCGCCTTTCACAGTGCTTCACGAGGAGGCGGGGGGGAGGTATTGTGGTGGCAGGATGGGACTGGGGTGCTGCTCTCACCCACTTGCGGCGGGCCGCGGGCGCCTTGGCTGAGTACGCAGCGGAGTGTCCGTTCCAGTGCTTACGCAGCAGCAGCAGCACCAGGGGGAGCATGAGCAGGAGCAGGAGCAGGAGGAGGAGGAGGAGGAGGAGGAGGAGGAGGAGGAGGAGGAGGCGGAGGCGGAGGCGGAGTGGGATGCCCAGCGGTCTGGGCCAAGTCCGTTCAGAATCGGCCCCGTCGGCCTCCTTCCAGGTCCCGCCCCGACCGGCTTTCCCAGCTGCGCGTGGCGTTGGCGACGAGAGTTTTTGGCAACGCCAAACAACCTTCGAAACGAAATGTACACGTCAACGACGACGACTTCAAAGCCGACGGCTGTTGCCCCTCGGCTTTGAGGCCACAACTAACTCAGCTTTGCTGTGGCCGTTCGGGACGATTCGGGCAACCCCAGAGAGATCTCGGCGAGGCGCAGCTGCTGAAACGCATCCCGAAGCCGGAACGCTTCCAAGAACCGACAAATACGGCCGGAAACCGCGAATCTCGAACCCTAAAACCTGACATGCGATGTCTTGCTATTTTCCAGAATCCTGTGGTGTTGGGTCCTCGTTTTGAAGAGACAGCGCCCCGCGTCACCTCTCCTCCTCTCCTGCTCCCTCTCCCTCCTCCCATCCCTTGCACCGTGCATTGCACCCCTCACACGCTTCGTGGCTTCCTAGGGAGCTCCGCCGAAGGCCCCAGTGGCAGGGTTCGCATGCGTTTCCACCCCCGTTTCGGCGCACCCTCACACTTTTCGTGGTCCCGTAAGGAGCTCCACCGAAGGCCCCAACGTCAGGATTCGCATCCGGTTCCACCTCCGACTCGGCACATCTCTGACACGTCTCGTGGCCCCATAGGGAGCTCCACCGAAGACGATCCTCACAACTTCGGCACTCACAATTGCAAATGGTCGGGTCCTTCGCCAGGCGAAATCAATGCGCGGTCCCTGGAAGCCTCGACCCTCTCCACAGGGCCGGTTCCTCATCCCGAGTCTTTCTTTGACGGTACCGAGGCCCGGCGAGGGCCGACGCAGTCAGAAACAAAAACACCTCGAGCCTGGAACTTGCGCGGCCCGCCACCGCTCCGCGCGGGCAGAGGCAGAGGCAGGGATGGAAGGAGGGAGGAGAGGGGGGAGGAGGCGGGGGAGGAGGAGGAGGAGGAGAGGAGAGGAGGGAGGAGGGAGGAGGGGGAGGAGGGAGGAGGAGGAGGAGGAGGAGGAGGAGGAGGAGGAGGAGGAGGAGAGGCGAGGAGAGGAGAGGAAGGCGGGGCACTGTCTCTTCAAAACGAGGACCCAGGACCACGCGATGGTTGGGGGAGCAGCCTCGAGCCTCGAGCCTCGAGCTCTCGAGCCTCGAGCCTCGAGCCTCGAGCCTCGAGCTCTCGAGCTCTCGAGCTCTCGCACGGCCCGCCGCCGCCCCGCGCGGCGCCCTGCCAGGAGCTGAGCCTCGGCCCCGTGGGCCACGCTGGCCTGCAGGCCCCGCCCGCTCCGGGGGCTGCACGCCCCGCGCGGCCGCTTGGCGCCTCCTCCTGTCTCCTTCTCCTCCTCCTGCTTTCGCGCCTCCTCCTCCTCCTCCTCCTCCATCTCCTCCTCCTCCTCCTCCTCCTCCTCCGCCTCCTCCTCCTCCTCCTCCTCCTCCTCCTCCTCCCCCTCCTCCCCGCCATTTTGACTCAATTGCCTGAAGTTCACAGGGAACCAAGTGGAGACCGCTGATCCGCGGCAGTGGCAGGGCCCTGCGCCCGACATCATCTCGCGACTCGCTGGTCGGCCCCAGGTTGCCGCCTGCGCCCGCTCGAGCAGGACGAGGCGTGGGCCGCCCTCACTACCTTTCGGGACGGCTGGTGCCGCCCCAGCCCGAGGTCGTGGAGTCCCCGTCGACGGCGCATCAGAGGTGCTTTGGGGCGGAGCGGCGCAGCCGCGTCGCCTTCGACAAGGCTACGACATACCAGACTGAGTGCTAGGAGTGTCTGGCTGATGCGAGGGCAAAGGTGCGAGCGGCGGCAGACGTTGTCGCCAGCTGTGAGCACGAAGCTGCGGTCGCCCTCAAGCGATTCAACGAGGAGAGAGGCGCGCTGCCGTCCACGGCAGGAGCGGAGTCGTAACCCGTTGAACCGCTTAACCTCAGTCACCTTTAGGAGAGAGATGCGGGCATGGCTTCTTGTTCGAGCAGGGACCCTTGCTGGACACGTGGGGCCTGGAGCTGTAGGGTGAGGAGCTGGAAAACTTCAACCGTATCGTGCCCCCGCTACCTTTCGGATTGCGGCTGTGTCGGCGGCCTCGGGGGCTTCGAGTGCAGGCGCGCTGCGCGGCGTGGCTTCCCGCGCGGCGGCCCCTGCTCGGACTTCTTCAGACGTCGGGGAGCGGCCGTGTAATTTCTCATTCGGGGGTAACTTGGCAGCTGAAGTCGATGGCAGGGGCCATCTTACGGGGGGGGAGTTTAAGACCTGATGTCGGCGATGTTAGTGCCAGACCTGGACATGGCGAGTTGCCGGGCGTCGAGTCGCAACCTTAGGCAAGGCGGTTGCGGCGCCTTTCAGATGGCCATCCTTTGTGTAGATGGTCGGGGGCGGAGTTGTGTTCGGATGATGGGGTCCTGGCTTCAGCCTCCCAAATGCATGGAGATTCCATGGCCTTTGCCGAGAGAGGCGTGGGGGCGACCGGGCTTGGCGTCATGAGCGGCCGCTGGGTCGTCAAGCTGGATCGGTGCCGGGTGCGGGCGATGGGCCAGGGGCAGGAGTCGCGCTCAAAGCGCCGCGGGCGTGCCCCGCCGCGGGCGCCGAAGGTCGCGCCCCTGAGGGCGCCAATGTAGTCGACAGGTCGGCGGCGTTGTGGGGTGGGGTGGCGGCCTGCTCCCAGATGTACGCCGCTGCGTTTGCGAAGCCCTGGCGTGTCGCTCCGCGGATAAGCGCGGGCGCGGGGCGCAGCGTGCCTTGCGATTCCCTACGGGTCACGGCCGCAGAGGTGCCGTGCAGGTGGGGGGCAGGCGCGGTCTTGGTCTGCCAGACAGGCCAGCGACGCGGCCAAGGCGTCGGCGCGCGCGGCGGGGACAAGGCCCACGCGGCGGAGGTTGCCATGATTCGGATGGAGTGTGCCGCGAAGCGCCGATGGAAGCTAATCAAGTGAGCCAACGAGAAGACGGTGATTGTCATGGAGATTGGCTTGGCTGAGAGCGGTGCCTGCGAGGGGGGGGGTGTTCGGGCGTGCTAGCTGCGATGTCGACGCCATGGTGGAGCTCGAGAGGCAAAGGCGGATCGGTCGCTGGTCAGGTGGAGTCATCGCGGATCGGGTGCGTGGCCTGCGCGCGCGATGCAGGAGACTGCCTGCCAGCGGTTCGACCCATCCGACGTCGCGAGTGTGTTCCGAGGCATCCAGCGCGCAACGGGGCGTGGGAGTTGCGGCCTGGGCCCGGCGGGCCTGGGGGCGGCGCCCGCGGAGTCGCTTGCCGAATTCGCGGAGTTGTTGAGAGGTGCGTACAGCTGCAGGCCCGACTTTGGTAGCTCCCTCTAGTTCTGGAAGCCGTGCTGCCCGAGCCGTCGACCAGAGAGAAGGAGAGAGAGAGAGAGAGAGAGAGAGGGAGAGGGACAGGAATAGAGAGAGAGAGAGAGAGAAAGGATATATAGAGGAGGAAGAGAGAGAGAGAGAGAGAGAGAGAGTGAGAGAGAGAGAGAGACAAAGAGAGAGAGAGAGAGAGAGAGACAGAAAGAAAGAGAGAGAGAGAGATAAACGAAACAACAAGCGGTGGCGCCAACGCCCTTTTCCTTGCGGGTCTAGGGCCGTCTTCGGAAGTCCGTGGTTGCGTTTTGGCGTGATTGCGAGTCTAGCTTTTGGGGGTCGGGCGATTCGGGGTGGCTCGGCGCTCCGTTGCGTTATGTTGCGAGTTTTCTTCGATGGGGCATCTCGTGCTTTGGGGGTGGCCCAAGGCCCCCTTTTTGCGGGGTTTTGTTATTTTCTGGGCCTTGTTTTGGCCTTGGGGGCCGCCCTGGCTTTGGACTTCCCCGCTGTTTCCGCGGGGCTCTCCCCGGTGCTTTGCGTTGCCCCCTGAGGCGTCGAAGCGAGGGTTGCGATCGCTAGGCTACCGAGCCTGCGGCGTCTATTCTCGTGGGCGATGGGTGCCAGTGACTTTGCCAGGGCGGTTCGTTTTGACGCATTAGAGTGCGTGCGTGCAGCCGAATTTTCTCGATGGGCTCTCCTCGGCGCAGTGGGTTGATGATGCCGACCGTCGCGTCATCGTTCCAGCACTTGCAGGGGCGGCTTGCGAATTTTGCGTGAGTGCGTCGGCCATCGGATTCGACGTGTCTTGAACATCGGTGGCGGCGGCCGGTTCCCTGGCTCTCGCGTGAGATCTCCTGGGCCGTTGCCGAGGGGTCAGAAACCCGCTTTCACATCGAGCCATCGAGTTCGGCCGCAGAAGGGTCTTGGCCGAGGCTTGGGCGGCGCGCAGAAGTGCGGCCGGCGAGTGGCGAGGGGCTTCGAGAAGTTGCGCGAGGCAAGCCGGATCTCCGAGCTCGGGCGTCTGCGCTGTGCCGGGACAAAGGCAGTTCTGATGTCTCCTGTCCCCAGGTTTTGGTGGGGCCTTGATCCGCGGCGTGTGCGCCCCTCGGGGGCCCCGAGAAATGCATGTGTTTAATCGCGTGCCTTGCTCTTGGAGCATCGTGTGCCAGCCTATGAGTCAGTTTGTCTTGCGCCAGCTTACTTGTTTTCCGAGCTTGCCGCTGGCCCCTCCCTTGCCGCGCGCGTTCGGGCCAGGCTCCATCGTGGCCTGCCCGTGGCGGCCCAGGCGCTTCTGCAGGCCATGGCGAACCGTGGGTGGGCCAGGGGCTCTGGGCTCATCTGGGGGATTCTGGCGGTTTTCTCGGGCCATGGCTGGCTCCTCCGGCATGGCCTCCCGAGCTTATTGGTTGGCCCTGGCGGGCAGTGTCTGGAGCTTGCACGGCTTCATTGATGTTGCACCTTTGGTGCGAGAGGCCCCCCCCGCCGCCCGGGCTAGGTCGCGGCGTCGCGTGGCCGCCCGCTGCTGGGGGGGCGGCCCCGATGCGCGCTCATTTTCCGAACATGTTTTTTCATTCTGGATCGGCGGGCTTCCCAGCAGGCGCTGAGAACCGGAGGGCCCCTGATTGATGCGCCGCGACTGCGACTTGGTCGTGGGGCAGTATGTCCACGGTAGCAGCGATCGAGGAGTCTGGGTCGTATGCCCAGCGTTGCCCTGCACGCGTAATCGAGGGGGGTTTTCGTCGAGTGTGGGGGTGTGGCGCCAGCTGCGAGCACCAAACTAGTGCGATGCAGCTGACCTCGGCCAGTGCGAGTGAGGCGTGGCAGGCGCGTCCAGTTTTTCTGGTCGCATGGCCTAGTGCCGTTGGCGTGGGCCGAGTGGGATTGGCCCCGCGCTGCTGGAGGCGGCGGGCCGACTTGAGGGGGTGGTGCGGTGGAGGGCGGGAAGCGGGTCGGGGGGGGGGCGGGGGGGCTCTCAGGGTCCGCGTCTCCGCCGACGGGTCTCGGAGCTGTTGCGGGCTGGCCGAGGCGCGCTCCGATCTCGCCTGGGATCGAGTCCCAGAGGTTAAGCGCTGGGCTGGAGGCCTCGGGAGGTCCTCGGAGAGGCGCAGCTGGCCATCCGCAAGGTGGAGGCCCGCGCATCCCAGGAAAGAGAGTTTTTAAGCAGCCGGGAGCTGTGGATGGGGGGCCAACGACGCGGTCGACCGACAGGCCGAGGCTGCCGCGCGCAGGTTTCAGCTTTCAGAGGCGGACGTCGACGGTGTTCGCGAGACGGAGCGTCTCGCGAGGCGGGTTCGTGAGAGGCCGGGGGGGGTTGCTCGAGGAGCGTGCCCGTTGCGACCCTCGGGGCCCTGGCCGAGTGGGGCGCGCCCTGTCCGAGCCGGAGTTCGCCCATGCCAAGGCGTGCCCGTGAGTGCCCGCGATGGTGTTCGGCCGAAGGGTCGGGGGGGGTGGGGGCCCGCGTCTCACGCCGCCGCCGCTGTCTGGAGGGCCGGGGGGGCTTCCGCCAGAGACCGCGGAATGGTTTTCCCGCCTTTGTGCGCCCGTGCAGACGGAGGTATTTGCGCATTCGTATCCCGCGCGACGGGGTGATCCGCCAGAGTCGCGCAGCCCGCGCCCGTTGCCAGTCAGCTGCCTGTTTTTTTTTTGTATTGTTAGACGCGCGGCCTCTGGCCGCGAATTTGGGGGCCAATAATTTGACGTCAGGATACTATCCACGCGCGGGCAACTTCTCCTCCTCTGCCCCTCTTGCTTGTCTGGCGTCTCTCTGTGCTGCTTTCTTCCCTCAGCTGGGCGTGCGCCCGCCAGAAGGCGGCGCGCCATCGCGGATAAGCCTCTACGGTGACCTCATCCTCCTCTTTCGCCTTCTCCTCCTCCTCCTCCTCCTTCTCTTCCTCCTCTTCCTCCTCTTCCTCCTCTTCCCTCCGTCCCTCCCTCCCTTCCTCCTCCTTCCTCCCTCCTTCTCCTCCTTCTTCTTCCTGTCCTCCTCCTCCTTCTTCTGATCCTTCTTCTCCTCCCTCATCCTGGTGCCTTGTTATTGTGTGTGTGCTTTCACTTTGTCACCTCGCGGACCGACAGCGACGTGTTCGGGGATCTCCCATTTTTCAGCGATGTACAATGAAAGTCGACGTGTTGGATTTCAGCATGGAGTTTCTGTTGCCCACGTCGCACAATTGCGTGGCAGGGAGTGGGGCAGGGCGCACATTCGGCGTGAAAGGGCGCAGTGCCGTTCCCGCCTCTGCGCCGCGCTCATCTGTCTGGAGAGTTGAGCTCCCGCACGGGCGCGGCGCACACTATACGCGCGCCGGTTCGTCGACGCGCGAGCGGACGAAGCTATCGCTCTCTCGCCTCTGCGCCGCGCAGAGTTCGCTTGAAAACGGCGCTCCTGCTGCAGCGCTGCGCATATTTGTCACTCGCCAGAATTTGGGGTCCCGCTCGGGCGAGCGACTTGTCCCCTCCGCCCAGGCCCCGTGCATTTTCCGTGCGGGAGCGGTGTTCTTGTGCGGCTTTGGCGCGTGTCTCGTTTGCCGAGTATCATCAAAGCGGCAGTGGCAAAGATACCGCCAGAGAGCGGGCGGACTGCGGTCCTCGCGCAAGCG